GACAAGCTGCAACTTCGCGAGCGGGAACACCACAGCCAGGTATGCGTACGGAGCTCCCTACTCGCACTCAAGTTGCAAGACCTCCATCCCGTGCTCCTTCTCCTGCTGGTTCCAATATTAGTAATCCACCTCAGAATAATTCTAATTTAGGCGTAATCCGACCCCCTTCCCCATCACCAGCCTCTCAGCTACAAGGGCAACCGCAGATCGCTCCATCCGGTCTACCAAGTTCACTTCGACCGCGAGTTATTCGCCGTCTATCCAATGCAACACCACCACAAAACACTTCGTCGAATGGTGTGCCAGCAAACCTTGTACCAACTCGTGCGCCTCTCTCTGCGTCGCCTCTACGTACTCCCAAAGAGATATACCCTTTCGCTGCATCTCGCCCTTCTGCTGAATTTGTCCACGCGCCGAGTCCGCTTTCAGCCACCCCAGCAGTTGCCCAGCTTCCTCGATCAGAGTCCCCGATTTCTGTTCGATCTCAAAGATCTCAAAAGCTGCCTTCAAGCAAATCCATACCTACCCCAGAACCTCCGCAACCTCGCCGGGAACATAACAATCGGGTATCATTCTTTGACCCTCTTAATCAAACTGCTTTGGACAGGCTTGTAGCAGGAGATTACCCAGATAATGGGAGTGTAGGTGAAGAGGAGACCTCACAGGCTACAATGGCGAGTGTAGAGGAGATGTTAGAGGGATTTGAGTGGGCCAGCGATGACTTATTTGGGAAAAAGAACGCAAAGGGGGCAGCAGACTTGGTCGAGGCCCGTCTGCTAGACGAGCTAATAGCCCTTGAGAAGGTGAACCAGGCTTCCGAGAAGCCTCATGTTTCTTAATTACTAACTCATATTCTAGGCCAATGTACACTCTTTCGTGGAGTCCGATGATCGTGTGGCTTTAGTCATGAATTTCCTGGATGAAGCTATCACTGAAGTCGACGCAATGGACAGCTTGATTTCATCATACAAAATTCATTTGAACGTACGACCTTGTCATCAAACCGGCTGCATCACACACTAAAATATATGACCACAGGCCGTCGGGGACGATATCTCGTTCATACAATCTCAGCGGCGCGGCTTACAGGTTCAGACACAGAATCAACGCGCTTTGTTGAGCGAGCTCGAAAATCTCCTTGTACGTTCTTCCGAATCTGCCACCACACATTATACTGATGCCAGGACAGCAAACTGTCCAAGTAGACCGTGAAGTACTGGTGACACTCACTCAGGAATCCCTTGAAAAGGCATCCGGGATACATAAATTAGAGACAGCGGCCACAGAACTTTATAAAGCTCTCCAAGCTGGTCAAGACACTGGTATGTTTGTATCTTTTGGCGTTTGATCCCAAGGTTTCATTGTTCGCAGACATGGCTGCTACCATGGAGCGATTAGACGAATACAGGACCCACAATGCACAGTTCTGTAAACGTATCTATGACTATCTATCAATCATGTCTGTCGCACAGGTTAATTGTTTATCTGTGGCCATAAATATGATACTTATATTCCGTATGTAGGCGGAAATTATCCTGGATGGGAACAATGGGATTACCAAGCCTGGTCGAGGACGCCCGGTTATCAAGAGTCACCAAGGCATGGAGACATACCTCGGTCGTTACGCAGGACTGCTTCTCTACTTGAAGGAGATGGATGAGAGTGTATATTCAAGATTTTGTGGGGTAAGGGAATTCCAGTACCTGCAACTCCTATTGACGGATTTATCTCAAGGCATACTTCTCGGCCACCAGTGAACTTCACAAAAAACAGATGGGGCATTTACTCTCGATTTACGCGGGATTGCTGAAGAAGACACCAGACGAAGATGCTGACCAGAGTTTGTGATCGACCCTTTTCAAGCATTTTTTTGGCTCATATTGAGATAGACTTTGGGTCGGCTAATGAAAACAGTCAAAAGGCATCAATTCGTCGTGCTGGAACCATTGTCCGTTCGCCTATCGAGGGACGAAAAGATCGAAATAAAGACAGGGAGAGGCAGATGGACGAGTATCGTGCACCAGAGGTGCGCTTATGTCTGATCCAGCTAGTCTTGACTCACAACAGTATCAGGCTCTGGGTCTTATTTTGGAGCAAATTGCCCCTCAAATCTACCGGGAAGGAGACTTCATTGCAGATTTCCTCCAAATCAATGATGCTGGTCTTACGTTTGCTGATTATGCTGGGCTGGACAATTACTTCAGGCGACAAGCTGCGCGAAGCGCAGGCTTGAGCCAAACAACCATGAAGCTCGCACGTGGTGCCATGGACTTAATTTTCGGCTTTTTACCTGCCGAGTTGAAGCAATGGATTGACTCCGCTATTGCCAAAGATACGCTGTACGTATTGCATAATTTTCCCATGGAGAAGTTTTGCTCACTCCGCCGGTAGTCAGGTGGTCGGAGTCCTAGTTTGCTTGGAGCGCTTTGTAGCAGGATGCGGATGAGCGTGATAATGCGTTCTTTCTGCAAATGCTGGAAAAGCAGCACACTAGGCTCAAGGGATCCTTCGATCGTCATATCGTAAGCCGTTATTTCTATTATTAATTGCTGCTGCTCACGACAAGTTTGCAGAATCAACAGATCAAGATGATCGAGGAAACTAAACTCACAAGCAAGAAGCGAAAAGGGGTTGCTCATTTCGTGAAATACTTCCCGATCTATGTCAGTCGTATTGAACAGCAACTAATTGGCGCGGATGGTTTGGAGATCAGAGCCAATATTGATCTAGCTTATGAAAAGATCGTGCACAGCATGTTTGAATGTCTTAAGCACATGGCTACCCTAGACGGTGATGATGAAGACAAGGGCCAGCTGAATTACCATGTGCTGCTCGTTGGTAAGTGAGCTGATACACCTCCGATCGTTTGTTAAAGGTCGGCTTGCAGAGAATATGCACTACTTTGTTGCGGAAATGTCTCAGCTGGATGTAGGCTCGGTTTCTGGCTTCCCGAAACAAGCGGAGGCGATTTACAATGAAAACCTGAACGCCTATGTCAAGATTGTCCTGAGACGACCTTTCACAAAGATCATCGTACGCAGTTACTTCCTCATTCTTATTCATCACCACTTTTCTGATTTTGCCTTCTACACAGGACTATTTCGACGGCATTGAACGGTTGCTCACGACTACTGCCCCGACAGAAGTCTCAAAGAACAGCAACTACAACAGATCCTCGCTAAAGAAAGTCGTCAAGGAGTTCGATGGCAAAGACATCCGCAAGCATATTGATGCCCTATTCAAGCGCGTTGAGAAACATTTTACTGAAGCTGAAGAGAAGGCGACAAAGGAAGAAAGCAGCGGTATCGCTCCTGGCACGGTCATGGTCGGCGTGTGGAAAACTTGTGAAGAGGAATTGCAAAGAATGACAGAGAACTTCAACAGGCGGATCTCGCAATGTTATGCAGACAGTGGCGTCTCACTGGAATATACTCGTGCCGACGTTGAGACGTCCTTTAGGCGCCACAGGCTTGGATCATAACTTATTTTGCAGTACTAATCACGAACCTGACATTTTGGATGCACATTGTATAGTACGCACTGTCTACCTTATACACATACCACCCATTCTTGTTGAAACGATAAGATAAGAGATAAAAAGAATCCTTGTTTGATAGACTAGAAATACCTCAAAAAAATCAACTTTTAAGTGGACTCTGAGAGTGCCTCAGGAGCCTGTCTATCGTCATGATTGACGCCAGCACCACTGGCATACGTAGCCTGCTTCGCAGCAGCGTCGGGAGAGGAACTAGGTTTTGTGAAAGACTTTGATAATCCTCCCATAACGGCAGGACCATAAGTTGTCCAAAGCCCCTTCACTGATTCGAAGGAGTAGGGCTGTTGTTCAGGCTGACCCTCCCTCGCAGCTTGAGGTTGTTTAGTTAGAGTCTGATTCAAGATGGTCCACAAAAGGTCAATGAGCATAGAAATGCGCGACTGAAGGAAACCAAGGACATTGTTCTGAGCAGAAGCAATGCTGGAATCCAACTCCGCCTCATTCTTGGAGCAGAAGGGTTCAAGGTAGGTTTGGTAAATGTAGGTCGAGCCCTGTCTACCCGTGAAAACCTAGATAAGGACAACGGGAGATGACTACGGACCTGGATTTGCGGGAGAGATAGATAGAGCAAAAAAAGGGTTCGTGTTTCCCAATAGAATGGCAACCTTAAACGCCAAGTAGTAGGAGTGAATAATGTTGAAAAAGTGAAAACTTACCATGATACGAATGTGCCTATGGTCGACTCGATCGCAATAAAGGCTCCAACTACAGCCCAATACATTGAAAGGCCCCGGAGGTCACCGGACAAAGGAGAGGAGAGCGCCTTGTAGGTAGAATAGCATGGCAGTAAGAACGCGAACCACGCGCTGAAATGGAAGCATAGTCAGTGTATTTATGGTCATGATGAGTCGACAGATATCATCACCAAAGCAGATGGGACACCATAGACATCAACATTATGAATTCCTCTCCAAACTTCAAATGCCAGGCGGTCGACGATGATCTTGGTCACAAACTGTTATTGGAATGACTTGTAAGCACCGGACAGAAGAAATGATACTTGGTATCACAAGTCCAGATGGATTGATCAGGATCAGAAGCACTACCACTACTGCGGCCACGTACATTCTCAAATGCCACGGAGTTGAATCGCATACGTGGCTTTATGTAATATCGCCCCTTTTAGTTGCAGTAGTTCAACCGCGAACTCAACTCAAGCATGCCTCGAGGTCCTCGCATGCATGCGAAGCCAAATTTTATGTCATAGTAATCCACCCTTAGACCTTTCAACTGCAGCCAAAGAGTCCACAAAGCAGTGGGTCATTGTTCTGCCCAGAATGGCGAGGACTAAGCAATAGACTGTCCAATATCCACATCTCCAAAGCGGTGGGCCACAATCCACAGGAGGCTTGATCAATAGTATATATACCCTACATGAAGGAAACTGGTTGGTACCATTATCTTCAGCCAGGCAAATTCTTCCAACAAAACTCGAGTCACCACTATGAATTCTCAAAGCAAAAGATCTCATCGTACTTCTCCCTATAAGGTCAAAAACGCCCCCAAGAAGAAATATATGACACATGAACAGCTTAACATCCTGGAACCTTACTATGCCAAAAATAATCGCCCTACGCAGGATGATATCAAATCACTAGCTGAGGAGATCAATGTGTGAGTTGGATGCTTTCACAGAGTGCGACCACGCGAACTGACCAAATGGCTGCATAGTCCAGCCGTGAAAGTTTACAATTGGTTCAATAATCGGCGCGCCAAAGAGGCCAGACTACAACGGAACTCATCGCAATGCCTCTGGAACATGAACGTCGATGGTACCGCTGATACGACCGATTCGGATCACGACGATCACGAGCACGAGTCGAGTGATATCCAAGGTACCCTAGACCAAGGGGGTCTCAACAAAGAAACCGATTACCAAGAAGCCTACGCCTATGTAGCGACGATGGCAGAAATGTCACCTGAGGAACTCGATACGCAGTTCATCGAGCAAGAAGCTGCCCGCGCCTGTGTCTTGGCCATGGCCAAGATGACACCAAAGGAAATCGATGCAGCATTCATTCTGAGCAACCTCCAGCGACGAATCATTGTTCATCCTCCCAAAAAATGACAAAGCAACGTGTTTTCGAACGTATGACTGGCCCCTACATTGGTACTCGATCGGCGCTGTATAGCTGCCATATAATGACTGATTACTTACCTTATTATTGATACCCAACATAAATATGACGTACTTATATTGGCCCCAGCATGCACTGTGAGGAAGTTCTCCATCTTCTAGGGCTCACCATAGGGTCAGCGACAAAATCATCATTTGAAAGATTCTAGCGGTACCCCGATTATCCGCTGCTTGGTTTATGGAAGTCTTGACATCGGAAATGAACCAACGATTACTGGCTCCGAACTAGAAGGTCCTGTGGTAAAACCTCGGACTCACCGACTGCTGGCAGAACTTGAAAAGGCCCTCTGAAATTGAGTCAAAGTTCTCACAAGTTACGAGAAAACCGTCCGCGGTAAGAACCACAGAAATGAGTATGATTTCACCACAACAGCCTAGTGCTACGGAACATCTAGCTGGACACTGTAGGAGCCGATAGAAGCTAGGTACCACCGCATTCCAGGGGTATCAAATTCGGGAGGAGCACAAGTAGGGTCACTCCACTCAACGAAGTTGAGCAGGGCGCAGCCTTGACTGCATAGATACGTGAGGGGGAATTTCCGACGATATCAGAAGCGGCCAATTATAGCCTGGTGTCCGCAGTCGGACATGTTCGTTTGAAAACTAAGCTGATTGACCTGAAAAGTGATATTTCAATGATATGATGGATGCAGGATGCACGGTCAATGAGTCAATTGTTATTGGAACGACGATAGTAAAGGGAATTAGTAGGGTGGCATGGGGATGATATCAGATGTGGCTGCCATGGTCGTGGGGAGTAACCTCTTCGAAGGACGGTTTGTCCATTTACAGAATTGATTTTGTATCGAAAATTATCTTTTATATTTAGATTTTTGCTATTTATTTTTATTTGCTGTCAGCGCCGATATCGTACCAGTAGATGAAGTTGAACAACGTCGCATGTGGCAAGGTAGTCTTCGTTGAACGTACGTGTTCGGTTCGGTATCGTTTCTTACCTGGAAGCTTTTTCTATCTGTCCTGGTATTAAATCAGCCTATACAATACTCCACCAGTGCACACATCAATCATGGATCCTGCCTCAAGTGCTAACTCTGTGCTTCACAAGAAGCATGATGACGATTCTGACAAGGCTAATGACAAGCGGGATGTCAAGCCAGTCGTGAAGACCCTTAATCGTGTTCCCCGTATGTTCAATTAAGTTCTTCATGTATTAGATCTCCCTACTGACTCGATACAGGCGCCTGTGTGAGCACGCTCCGGCTTTCCAAGTTCCCGATGCATGCTGACTTATGCCATTAAATGAACAGAATGCTTGTCGGAAGCAGAAGATGCGCTGCGAGGGTGCAGATAATCCACCATGTAGACGTTGTCGTCATGCAGGACTCGAGTGTCTATTCGAAAAGCCTACCAGAGAAGCAACTCTCACGGGCGAGGCAGGACTTGAGTCAGTCAACTTCGCTCTATGACTTGTCATGATTTTTTACTCATAGCATCGTAGGCGTATACGAAGTCTAGAAGCTCATGTTGCTGAGATACGTTTCACTCAATCGTCGATACAGACTACTCTTCTCGAGATCGTCGGCCACCTTCGAGGCGCTACGCCGTATAATAACCGCTCTCCCTCGACGTTCTCACAAGCGCCCTACAATACACAGTCACCAACAATGCAATCCATGGGATCTTCCCCAATGTCTTCTGGCCCAAATGGGTCCCATGTGGGTGAACCAAGCATTCACAGCGTACAGGCAGGGCCTACCACCCCCACAGTCTATCATCCTAACCTCAACCATGGATCTCTTCCACCGATGTTAAACGCCCCACCGCGTCATTCGAGGAACTCTGTATCCCATGGTGCATTGGTATCGGTTGGCCAACCTTCTGGTCATGGAGAGTACCACCCACCACAACTTCCGCCCTCAAATACAAATACAACTTCACCGACCCAATCATACGGTTATTCCCCTTCTGGGCAAGTTTTACCCCCATTTTCCACGTTGCAAGAGATCGGTCGTACAACCTCACAAGTATCTATACCTGGTCGTCATGAATCACATCACCAAAGGCAAATGCAGCGTGTCCACAATGTGCATTCACCTTCAGGATCTAAACGCACTGCTCCATCCTCGTCCAATCCCACCAGTGCGGACTCGACAGATATTGATGATGACAATGGAGAACTACCAGCTTCTGGCCTAGTAGCGCCATGGGAAGTTCTAAGAGGTCTAGCCGACGTGGCTATTGAGCGAGCAGCCAAGGTCAGTGATTTTACCGTTGCACACCCACTGTGCGTGAACTCCTATCGCATATAGGAAAATGGCGAAGGAAGCAGTGAACCACAGAGCAGAACCAGAACGCCATCTCCTGAGCGAAAATCTAGGCCAATGAAGAGGAGAAAGATCCGTCATCGGTCCTTCCGTGGTTTGACGTTCCCGGATGGTAATGTTTTCTTATCCACTTGTACAACTGATTCTCAACATTCAAATGGGCAGTTGTCACAACGAACATCATCTCAGAACAAGAAGCCCGTGAACTGTTCAGAATGTGGTTTTATTTCTAGCCTATCTCCTTCATGCTACGTAATAATGCCGTTATACAGATTTTATGCCGGATGTTCCACTTTTCTCCCAGTATTCGATTGCCAGGTGGACACATTCGAACAGCTCCATGAACGGTCACCGTTCGCTGTCGACGCCATTTGCACAGTTGCTGCTCGCGTGAGGGATGGTGGAGGTAACTTGCTGACATTATTTTATTATTAGCTTATCTTATTATCTATCAGGAAACGCAAGCGAGACTTACACCCGATGCTTGGAAGCAGTCCAAAATATTTCGTGCGCCACGTTGTTTGCTCCGGTAAGCCGCGTAGAAGCTGTGCAAGCGATGAGTGAGTGCGCTTTCTGTGACATCCAAATTGAATTAATCGTATGAAAGTTCTTGTGTCCGGGTGGTCGGATAACGGTTGGCTCAGTGGCGGTCACGCAGTTCGCATGGCCATGGAACTTTGTAAGAAAAACATCCACTGCAAAAACGAATATCTGAGCGTTTTACTCTTTTTAGCACTTCACAAAGCTTGGCCAAAACTTTTGAGGCGCATGCAAAACAAAACTAAAACTACCATTGACGGTTCGGAAGACCGCGACCTCGTTGTTGCATCCCGAACTTGGTTTTGTCTGTATCTCTTCGAGCATCAGTGCGTTTACGGACGGCTTCAAGTACATTTCCCGCTCACTGATTGCATATCAAAGATTATCCTATGGTACAGGACGTCCAGCAATTTTAAAGGATGATGAAAGCATATGGCAATGCCGTTTGCTTCTACAGCACCCTTTAGCAATTGAGGATGATATGCGCTTGGTCTCGACTGTTGAGCTTATGGCTATCCGCGAAAGAGTCCACAACAAGCTGTCACCTTTTGAACGGCCTGTCGATGAAGGCACCTTTGGAGTCATTCAACAGGCTGACTCCGAGTTCCGAAATTGGTATAAAACTTGGGACCATGCTTTTTCGCAGAAGTATGAAGATGCAGGTGCGATCCAACTGTCAGGAACCACCTCTCACTTGCCCTCCTGACTCTTCGTCAAGCGTTTTACCGCCAAAGTTTGCAGATCCAACAACTGCATGCAGAGTTGTTCCACAATGCGACTGCCTTACGTGGTATTAATGGTCCAGAGGATGTTCAGAAGATGCCAGCCGCCCAAAGAGAATTGGCAATACGTTCAATACGCACTGCTCGCCAGGGCCTTGAAATCACAGTCAACTCGCCGTCGTATAGCGAAGGCATGAAATATGGTTGGCTCTTGTTATTTTATCTTGTCAGCATGCTAAGCTCACATGAAATAGCCGTTCACTATACACATGCAACTGCAACATTTGCAGCGTCGTTCTTGCTGCGATTAGCACGTCTTTTGTAAGTTGCGCGCGATGCAAGCGGTGAATAATGCACTCACGCCATCTCAGCCCGACTGATTGTGATATGCAAGAAATACGGTCGCAGGTCGAACGTCTCGCTGGCTTAATGTCTCAAAGTGAGTCCTGTCGTACCTTACTGTCAAAACACACACATCAACTGCTTCTTTGGCAGTCCCTGGCAAGCGTTATGCCATCACGCTTCAGCTGATGCTGAAAAGAGCGAAGAGGCGCAAGGCGGCATCAAGCTCCCGCTCCCCCAAGATACCTAGGGAACCCCCTCGAAACATGTCTATGGTGATTGACATGCAACAGAATGTGCACATGAGCCCTGAGAATTTTTCTCACAAGTATGAAATCGCATATTCGAGTCCTGAAGCCGTGCAGCAGATGCAAATGGGCATGATGCCGCAACAGACCGCCGAGGTCGACAACATCTGGCGTGGCTTTGAAATGACATCGAACGAACAACTTCCAGTGTGGATCTCTGATCAGAGCCTGGGTGGTAACTCATTCTCCCAGCAAGGCATGGATGCATTTTTGCTGCCTGCTGACTACCTACCTCCTGCCCCTCAGATCTGGTAGTGGTTCTCACGATCTACCAACGTGCTGTTTTTATGGTTGTCGTGATTCTTTATAGGTTTTTGTCTATATGTTGTACGATTGTAAGTTCCTATCTGTTTTCGCGTGGTTATATATATTTCCAGTATTCTTGTATAGCTCTTTCATCGCTACTGAATCGATCGGTGTGCTTTTGGACAACTATCCCCGGCTCAGGCTGGACTGAATTGAAAGTAAGATGTGGGATATGGAAATTCGAGTGGGGTGCATTCACGACCATCGGACTGGATCAGAATGTCTGAAGGTATAAATGCAGAAGTCCCTGATGCACGGTCTTCACAACCACTTTTCGTGTATATAATGTACCCCACTGTTACTCCAGAAGCACGCAGGCGACCCGTATGTCATGAACGACTCCCCCATCTTGCTGGCATTGGCCTTGCGAGAGATTCACCTCGATCCTCACAGCAGTCGACTGCTAGCTCAACTTGGCAGCCCACTGA